GCGACGGCGGCGCGCACAACAAAAACGGCGACATCGTTTCCCGATCGTCGGCGTCTGACTTAACTTTGGTCTGCTTTGGTCGGCTGCCGACGGGTCACGGCGCTGGTTGCCGGGACGCGTGCCGCGCGTTTTGCCGGCCGCGACCGAGAGCCGCCGGAAACGACCGAGCGACTGGCGCGGTGCACCGAGGGTTGCGTCCGAGTTTAAACTTGCCGCGAGAACCACCCCGGCCGGGACGGTCTTCCAAAACAATGACTACATTTAGGGCCAGTTCCACAAACGTCGGTTAACTGTTGACCAGAGTTCAGTCAGCATCTGTAGTTAAACCTGGTATAAACCTGGCCAATCACAACTATTCCTCAGAAGAATGGAATAACTGTGATTGGCCAGCCCCTTAACTACGGTTGTTATTAAACCAGATTAGAGTGCCATGTGAACATAGTCAATGACGGTTTAGAGCCAGTTTCACAAACGTCGGTTAACTGTTAACCCAGAGTTCAGTCAACTCTACATCTTTTTCTGTCTTATTATCTAAGAAGAGAATCAATTAACCTTCGGTTAGCAGTTAGCCAACGTTTGTGACACTAGCCCTTAATAACAATCGTAGTTAAGGAACTGGCCAATCACATTCATTCCATTCTTCTGATGAATAGTCGTGATTGGCCAGTTTTATAACTACAGATGTTATTAACCCCGATTAGGGTGCCGTGTAAACGTAGTCTATGATGTAAACTTTGGCCCGTCAGCTCCGTCGAGCTACACCAGCGAGCCGGGTCTGTGTGGGTGAACATCATGGTGTAGCACCCGATGGTGCTGGCGGGCCAAAGTTTACATCATTGTCTTGAAAGACCGCCCCGGCCGGGGTGGTTCTCGCGTCAGGTCAGGTTTAAAGTTGGACATAGCTTGGGGCTTAGCATTGTATCTTGCGTCTATTGTAGAGTAAGCTTTAGAGTCTATTCAGACAAACTAAAGGTTCTTCGTAATCAGAACCGAGGGTCGATTAGCCGAGCAAAGGAATCCGCGGTTGCGTATCGGTTACGCGCGATTCATTAGGAATGTGCGCGGATCCCCCTTGCACTTGCAACGCGACGACGCGACACTCCTCGAATGCGAATTCGGTGAAATTTCTTCCCGATCTCTTGCGCGCGAGATTTATGCAACGCCTACGCAAAATTCGGCACGCGTCCGTGCAGCGCATTTGAATGCAACCGACTCCGTAAACCGCGCGCGCGCGCGCGCGCGCGAGAAAGAATCGTGACGCGGAACAGGAACACCTTGCCTCCCATCCGAGGAAGCCGCCGCGATGGAGAAATAAATAAAAATAGGGCGCTGAGGGGGAGAGGGGACTAGAACGTTACGACGATGTTGAGACACCGCGAGAGGAAAAGGGGGAGAGGAGCACGTGGCAAGCAATAAACGTTGTTACGACGCATGTTTGCGGTGAAGAGGCTTGCAGCATCCCGCTGTCAATCTCTTCATCGAGGACCCCGCGGTCAACGCGAGAACGTCTGCGGTGTCATTTTTTACGTTTTTCCCTCGAACAATCCGACCGCCAAGTTCAACAACGTATTTGCCCTGCTGACACGCCTCACAGCGAGAGGAGACCTTTCATTTTAATGAGCGACGTCGCGCGCCGCGAAGTGAACGCGAGGCAATACGTCGCGCCGACCGTAGATTAAATTATTCTCACTTTCTTTTTTCCGTCCTCGGGTGCTCGGCGCGCGTGCCGTAGACTTTGGCCGGCGAGCAAGCTTTTCTTTCGCGTTCAAATATTCTTTAACCCGTTCATAACCGAATTACTTTTATTATCTTGTTTCTGAGTGACACTAGGATCCCGAGGAACCAAGAGAGAGAACAAATGTTAAGGCCTGTGTTCACGATGGAACTTGGCCCAAGTTCTAG